TTTTATACAGGTAACGAGTTCAAACAGGTGCAATTAATACAGGCAATGAGTGGAGGATAGGAGGGCTTCTTAAAGACAAACTAACAGGTCTGTGAGAGCCAGAATTCTTGCTGGTTGCTAGGTGATCAAATACTTATTTCATGCAATAAAATGGAAATAAATTATTTAAAAATCTAACAATGTGATTTACTGGAATTTTTTTGTAGATTCTGTCTCTCACAGTTGAGGTGTACCTATGATGAAAATTACAGAACTGTCCATTCTCTGTAAGTGGGAAAACTTGAAAAATCGGCGGTGTATCAAATACTTATTTGCCCCACTGTACATAATTGTCAGTTTTAGATCATTTATATTAGATATTTTGGGCAACCTGTTGTTTCTGATAAAATATCGAACCACATACTGTTATTGGTTGTTAATTTAAAAAACCCTGTGTTGCAGTTGTTTTGCCTTTCCTGACTTTACCAAACCACCTAAATAAAACATAAAGATTAATTATGATAGGAACAATATGAGCAAATAATTACATAGGGCAGTATAAATAATTTGTCAAGGTGTACAGTATATGTTGTTCTGTACATATCTAAATGTACTGACTCATATCCAATGTATTAAATTTTTATGACATTCATAAAGTACAACTACACAAGAGTGATGGGATGATTGATGTGCTGGATGTCTGTCTGGAGGGAGAACCATGATAAGGGCTGTTTGTTCTAACAAGTCATGTGAGATTTATTGATCTACTGAGACAAGTACAGAGAAAAAATGAGAAAAACTAAAACCTAACAGACAACATCAACCAAAGGTGAGTAGTAAGGAGTCATGTACATGTTAGTCAAAGACATTTCCTTCTATGTTTTAAGTATCAGCTTAATGCTCAACTAAATAAATATGCACTCAGTGCCTAAACGAGTAAAACTGGTTCAGGCACTTTATTTAAAGTATCCATTACTCAGTAAAACAAACAACAGATGCTGTGGCTAGAGTCTACAATGTCCCTGACACAGTTATTAGACAATAAAAAATGTCCTGCAGCTATACCCACTACACAGGTGCAAGAATGCATGGCAGTGTGTGATGGTCTGTGTGCATCGTGCCTTTTACCTTTTGCGGCAAAGGTTCATCATCACGGCTGAAAGGGTGCTCAAACACCACAGCAGCCAGAAGTTTTCCTGACAGGGGGTCATTTCTCACATAATCCTCAAACTGCTCCTCTGTCTCAAAGCCACGCACTGAATTAGAAACACACACAAAACAAAGCATTACATTAGCTGCAGCGTAGCACTCGAATCACGTACGTCTGTTTTCAAACCTGTTTCATTGCTTGACCTTGGTGTTTACCGTTTTCCCCAAAAGCTAGGAAGTTGGTCTAGACACTGTCAGATTACTGAATTCTGTAGGCAGTGTCACCAACACAACAGGTCAAATCCCAAAAGAAAAACATTACACCCGAGTATGACCTTATACGCTTTCTTGCACAGACATGCCAGACACAAAAAGAGAAGTGATAGACTACATGAAAGTAAACCACCCAAAAGGTGTCATGACACCTCCAGGGGCAGACAGCCTGATAAACCTCCTAACAGATCAAATGAGACAGAATGAAAACAGAGAACAGAACAATAATAAACAAAAACAGATTAGATCATCTTTTCACAATGTCTTTATTTTTGAGAACATGGCTTCGCAGCGGCATTTATTTCACTTATAAAGAACACACGATTTTTGCAAACCAAGGTTCCACTACTAGTCAAAAGAATTTTTAAAACACCTCAATTTTTCCAGTTATTTATTTCGGCAGCCAAACAATTTGTGGACTTCTTTCTACAGCTGAAAATCAAATATTGTTCAGATAGCACTGTTACACTTGCAGGGTGCCTTGCTTTCACTGGACACTGTGCTGCCATTCCATCATTTGAAGCCGATCATCTTGTTCTGTTCTTCTACTCAGCCTGGAGGTGTTTTCTAGGTCATTACCCTGCTACAGGAAGAGAGTGCAGTAACACAGTCTTTGCCAACACTGCCCTTGTAAACAACAAATGGCGGGACACCGGTAGGAGCTGTTTACTTCTTAGCTTTGTACCATTTAAGGTTATTCACTAGATTTTCATAAATGACAATAAAAACTGGAAAAATTGAGATGTTTTAAAACGTTTTGGCTGCTGCTGTAATGGAAACATACAGAGGGCATAGACAAAAACAGGTCAAGGCCAAAGAGCTGGCAAACACTCCAGTTCATACACACCCTTGCACACTGCTCTTAACTTAACCTGCTTTTCCTGAATACTCCTAACTTGATCGGATGGTAAAAATATGCAAATCTAAAATTACCGACTAGCAGTCGCATCTTGCAGTTGCTAGAGGAGTATGCACAAAGACTGTGGAGTAGCTCACCTTACTGAAGAAAACATAAATTATGATTTGCTTAAAGAAATGTATTCATATATTTTGGTTTAGGGGGGAAAATGACATTCAAAACACAATTACAAGACAGAACACACCACTCACTAAATTGTCTTAACAATTTAAAGCAACTTAAGAAAAACTAGTTAGAAAGTAAGCAGAGAAGTCATACTAGTTAAGTGTTAAATAAAACTGATATGGCTTGGCGAAACATTGGCTAAAAGGATCATCTATGAGCAGCTGAATTAGTCAAGTAAAGAATAAATGCTAAAAGTTGAAAAAAAAAGCAATGATTTAACTGTTGAATTGTTAGAAAATATTCGATTAACCAAAAATTAAAAATAGGTTAGTTCCAACCAAGAAAACTTAACATATATTACTGAGGTTGGTAACCAGAGAAGTCTAGGAAATGTGTAAAAAATAAAAAACAATAAACACAGTATATAACATTGTAAATCTCATTGCACAGTCCACTATTTCACAATACACCATGAAAAACATATACAAGCCACTTCAACATCTAACAGTTTTAAATAATAAACACAGCAAACAGCAAATGGGTTGCCTGCTCCCACTTATTTTTATTATGTAATATGTAAAACTGTGATATCTGAAACACAATAGATCTGTTTTAATTGCCTCAAACAGCGAGAACAGGGTTTGGTGGTCCTCTGTTTGCGCATGACATACTAATCTTCAGCCTCGATTCCCCTCCACCGTTCCCTCGGAACACTAAGACCTGCTAAATTATTCATTAATGGCTGCCCTGGAATCTTGTGTGGTTGTGTACAGGACTACCTGCAGTTCCACATATCTGGCTGCCTCGTGGCTGACTTCAGCCCCTCACAGCTGCTCTTTGATCTTCTTTTTCATTATCTGACAATGTGGAATAAGCAAACAGCGTGTTTTGCATCTCTGTTAGTCAGACTGGCTGCATGTTGTTTTGAAAAGCAAGTCATGCAACATGTGAGCGTCCTCTCTGTCCCAGTTTAAACTCTCAGCAGTAATAACTGTTGATTACACACTACAGTGCTTATAAGGATTAAAGAAGCACAATATGTGATAAGTATCAGCTCATGGTGCCGAGAGTTCGGACCGGAAAAGGGAAACGGGCTTTTGGATTTGCTGCTCCCTCTTCGTGGAATAGTTTCCAAGCAGATTTTAAACTTACTGAATTATGCTCAGTTAAAGCTTTTTATTCTCTTATGGCTCTTAGGCAACAGGACTCTATTGGTCAGTGTAGGTGTTTTTAAATAGGGTGTATTGTTGATTATTGTATTTATGGTTTTGATTGTTTAAATGTTTAATGTTTTTGATTTGTATTGAAACTTATGTATTGACGACATGTGTTGTTGACCTCATGGCCAGGTCACCCTTGTAAAAGAGATTGTGATCTCAATGGGTTTTTTTACCTGGTTAAATAAAGAGAGAAGTAATATACTGTATGTAAATATTTGTTAGTGAGCTTTAGAGTTTCTGGTAGGTGGACAGTTAATCTTTGGTGATGCCCAGAAGTAAATCGTTGCTTGAACAAGCCGAATCTGGATCCAACACCTCTCTAATTGTGACTTGCACCTGTTTTGACAGACCTGGAACTTCATTTACATGAAGAACATGAAAGAAACTGAATAATATATAAAAAGTCCCAGGTTTAATACTTTCTGTACTTACAACAGCATATTAGACTAAAATTAGAATAATTAAATACAAACCAGGCAGTCAGACTCATTAGGTCACCACATAACCAGCCTGCACAGGTCACACTGGGTCAGCTGCACATTCAGTGTAACGTTATGTTAGCCATGGAGCAAAAACAAAGCTAGTCAGAAATCAGAAGCCAAACAGGCCAAACTGGACCCAGTTATAAAGCCTACAACTGTTAATGAAAAGGTTTGTAGGCTACGGTCTGATGCTGAGGTCATGGATTTCAAATGGACATAGGACTGAGGCAAAGCACGGAATAACATAAAGATGACTCCTGCCCCATGACTGTGTTATGGGCTGTTTTAAATAATGGAAGGTAAGGACATGTTTATTTAACATTACCGCATTATATAGCCTTATAAATTTGTTGCTTTAATACTTTGAATATAATGTTAATGTGCAGTGGAGTAATAATGCACCAGATATGATGTCAGGCTTTCTACTGATCAAATGGATCAGAGGCCGAAGCCTTGCAGTCCTAATGTATTTAGCATCAACTGACGCCAACATTTATAACTCGCACTTGCAAATGTGTGTCTTCTTCTGTGATTTATTGGTCAGTACAAACACACAGCAAATAATGTGGAAGCTACACACACACACAGGTCATTGAGGAAACTGTTTGATTCAGGGACCTCCTCTCCCCACACTGACATACTGGGTAATATTCCGGGAGCTCATAATTTACAAATTAAACACTGGTGAAACCAGATTAGCTGCTTCCTCATTTCCAAGCTTTTCAATTATTCATAGCTGGCAGGGTGCTGACTGTGGCCTTATGTTTACCAACACATATGGGAGTGGTATTGATCTTTGCCCAACTATTGGCAAGGAAGACAAAAGCGTATCTCACAGAATATCAAACAATTCCATTAACCAAACATAAAGACTAATAAATGACTAATCTTTGGGGCAAGTTAGAGTTAGTTGTTGAACAGTTAGTGGTAGATGTGACATTAGTTTAAGCAACGGATGCCCTGCATTTGGATTGAAGATGGTTTTTAAACAAGCCAACATCATTGTACTGAATCTGCTGCCCATTTCCTGTCCAGCAACCACCCACCTGAAGAGAGAAACAGGCTGCCTCGCACATCCTCTGCCACCTGACGCACCACACTGGAGTTGCCGGGCACATAGGCCAGCTGTAAGTGTTGCAGGAATCTCTTCGGCAGAGCGTCGACAGCATAGCTCTCATAAATGGTGGCATTCGGGTAGTCTTTAAAAGGCACTTTCTGCCGCAGCACAATGAGGATGCCAGAGAAGAGCAGGGGCAGGAGTATCTCCACCAGCGTTACCAGGATTTGACGTTTCTGGAGTGCAGGAGCAGAGAAACTATTAGTATCTGCTTGATGGGAGGAATTCAGGATTCTGAGGGAATATAATGAAAGCATTTTTAAAAAGGGTTTTTCTACAAATTAATTAGAAGCACAGAGAGAGAGAGGACAGGGACAAATTAACTACAATGTGCTTGACAGAATATGCATTACTTTAAGCTTCCATATTTCAGCCACAGGTAGAAGAAAATCACTTTTAACTACTCTGAATCACAAAACTGTGACCATACATTTCAAAAATGTTAATATGATTTAAACATGTTAATTACAAATAATGTTTTGTGCAGACTGGGTCTCGGCATCAGTTCCCACCTTTTCACAGTATGCAGGATTGAAACTAGACAATTCCACAGAAAGTATCACCTATATGGCGACCCCCTTCTTTTAAGTGACTGGAGTATAAACTGACTTAGTTTCAGGACACTACATCTCAGAGGGGCCCCAGTATCAGACCTCTTTTCATACCTAGGTCAAATGTTATTAATTAAAGAACTAAATAAAACCCAAGAATAGACACATTATTGCACACTGATAATAAAATGTGTTTAACACTTTCCAGTTACTGGCCAAACTGTGTCAGTAGGACCTTGTCAAGCAGGAAATGAATGCTTGCCAGTTTAGTTTATCTTGATCAGATAGTACCTGATTTAAATAACAGTGTTGTTAGATGTATGTTTTAGACCCTAGTAGCTCGAGTTCTTGTACAGATGTTTGAGTTTCAACACATCACACTTATGCACTGAAAGATTTGTGTTAAAAAGTAAGGAATCAAAATTCGTACTGCCCTGAAATGAAAACCATATACTACCACCATTCCCCACATCTGGTTGTTTTGGGTTTAGTATGATGTACTTATATGCTGCTGAGATACCACTGTAAATGGCCCGAAAGCCAGAGTTTCATTTGAAAACTCCCAAATTGTGTACTTTTATCAAGCTGTACTATAACTTGAACCATGAGAGTTTTTTTTACAGCCTTCTGTTACAGTATCAGTAACCAGAAGATGTTGGACTGTCATGGTGCTGCTAATACCAGTGGGACAAGGTCCATGTAGATACTGACATGGAGGCGACAGTGCCATGACAACTGAACACTTGAACAAGAAACACAATAACACTGGTATCTAATTTAGTTCAAACATGCCATCACTTAGAAATCACTAACATGTCAATCTCTTGACTTTGTCATTATTATTAAGGAAATTAAAAACGTTAGCTACTATAGATAAAAAATAGCTTTTGCATGAATTCCCTTAAATGCTCACAAAATATATTTCATTTTGCTCTTGTTGAGCAAAATGCCATTGTAGAACAACCAACAAGCTCAATGATAACATTCTTAAATACAACATTTGCAAAGAACTGAAATTTCATCAGCAAACTGATGTAGGTGAACTGGAAATAAGTCAATATGACAGGACACCGGGGGGGAAAACAAGATAGCCCAGAAATATAAAGTGTTTGCTATCCTTTGTTTTTAGAACAGGTTTTTACAGGCCTGAATTACAGTATCCACAATTTCCTTGTGAAGGTGACATATGATAATACATTACATTTTGTAATGCAGTTTATGTGATTAATATGTATATATTCTCTGTGTTATGCAGCCAAGATGGGCAAGCAACACCAAGATGCACAGTATTTTCTCTGCCTGTTCCTAATGGCGTCTCTGTATTCTCTACTACAACTGGAGCAACAACGGATGGATAAAGAGCGATGGAGCAACAAGCTCACACCAGCATGCTATAATGTACAGCAGACAGCCAATTCCATTTTTAAATAGCTGCAGCATTGTGCAACCATCAGCAGATAATTTTCAAAACTATGCAGTCATTCAGAACAATACACCACCAGAAAGATGCCAGTTGAAATCAGGCACTGTTTAGAAAATAAATTCTTTTCTATCTTCAGTAAACTGAAGAAAGACAGTTCCAGAACTATACAACACTGCAAGCCTGCAGTGCTACAACAGGACACTATCTTTTTGTGTTACTTATTTATCTACTTTATATTTCATTTGTATTTTGTGGCATTCATGTGGACGGCAAAGTAAGAATTTCATTGTACAGGGAAACACGTTTCCTAACTGTGCATATGACAAATAAACACTTTGACTTTGACTATCTTTCTTTGAGATTCTGAGGTGTGACCAGATGTGTGTAATTTAACCAACATGTTATCCAGCAGCTAAAAATGCAGATATATTGTAGACACATGAATCTATAGTTGCACAATAAACTGACTGTAATGATTCCCATCTCATGATCTATGTCACAACAATTAAAGATCTAGAGCAACAAAATAACTAAAAGTACAGTAGTGAAAGCATGTGACAGCTACCAGTGTTGACCTAGCTTAAGCCTGTAATACACCAACACAGTACATACAAACTTGTGTCAACCTGTTTCTAAGTAGCTGCGCAACATCACGAGCCATAAAAAAAAGTTAGTCAGTTTACTGTATTTATGATGCCATGTGAGCTTATAACTTAATAAATGCTGTCACGCAGACCTCTGCACTGTAGCCACAATTACTTCTGACAATTCCCTATTACAAACAATGTCAGCACCTAATTAGAACACATACAGGCTGAATGTAGGTTCATGATCTTCCATCTCACCTGCTGAAGATAGTTTTTCCACACCAGTAGTCCAAATTGTCGCATGACAGCCATTTTGATCAATGCACAAGACAAAGCCCAGTCAGTGGCTGTAAACAAAAGCAAAATATCATTTTTAGTTTCAGGCTAAACCTAAACGTACAATCACTGAAATGTTTATATCGATTTCTTGAAGGTTAGTTGTGTTTTCGAAACAGCTTCGACCATCTGTGCTGACTGTAAAAATTTCCTATGTCAATTTCTATTTCAACACAATAAAACAAAAAAAGAGAAGTGAAATTGACCAAGGAGCAGTATCACAATTAGCATTATGTTTTATTTCTTTTCAAGAACTGTAAACTAAATAATACATAAGTAGAGAACTCAATAAAGAAAGGAAATTAAGAACAATAGTTACTATAAAATTAAAGAAAGGACAGCAGGGAAATGAGGTCATCTTACAAAGGGACCCCACAAACAAATGAGTAAAAAAAAAAAATTTAAAGGCCTTTGACATCTACATACTGAACCAGTTGGACAAGCCAATGGAGGGTTGTATGACGATGACAGACACAAACAGAGACCTCTATATGGCTGATCAAACAACAAACACATATGCTAAACGAACATGAAGTTGTATTAATACTGACGACGACATTTGTAACCCACAAAGGGCTATCAGTAAATACGAAACGTTAAAGCTACAGCCAAGATTTGCCTCATGGTAGTCTCAAGTCATAAATATTTGACTTAATCCCGTTTCACAACACCAAGAGTTCATAAATGTAATAATACTGCTCACGCTGGGACTGTCCACTACTTACACTAGTGCCAATCATCTTGGGTTGCTAGCTACAATTCTTCATTATTTTCATTTATTATTATTATTTTATTGTAGTTTAATCCCGAAGACCACGTGCTACAAATTTAGTGCAACACTTTGCTTATTATTAAGTTCCAGCAAACGACAAATACACAAAATGCCACGGAGGACGTGGATATTTCCCTTGTTAGCAGATGTTTTCTCGTCTCTGATTGGTCCAAGGCAGCCTTCTGCCCCTCCTGATTGGTCAATCGACCTGCGTCCATCCCGAAGGATTGTGATGAATGCTAATGTGGAGCTGAGGAATTTATCTGGGTATTTGTGAAATATAACGTGCTGTCTCACTAGTATGATTTCATTTTACACAATTGTTAATCCATTGTCTTTAACGAAGCGTCATCGTGGTGTTATATCGCATAAATGAGCAAAGTTACCTCAAAAGGCAGGCTTTCGGCACTTCACAAGATGTGGTCCTTCTTCCCGTCGAGGTGAAACAAATCCTCTTTATTGTCTTAAAAAGATAGTGTAACCATCACTGCGAAGCTTATTCCTTCACCAACACTATCGAGGGTCGACTAGGCATCAGTAAACCTACGGTCGTTTGCAGCCAGGTCTAGGTTTTTCTTCAGTTTGCTGCCTGCTAGCGAGATGACATTGCACCAGCGCCTGGATTAACCCGTAAAATCATCGCAGAACGTAGCGACAACCGTCAACAAAACACGCCACGTGATCTCACTGAGCGTCACGTGATCTCAGCAGCTGGTCTATAGATACACAACTGTATAAAAAGTACAATAAATATACATTTATTTGTGTTGTAGTTAATATTTATGTATTATTTAGCGTAATAATTTATGTTATAATTTACTGTAGCCAACTACTGGTAATATTGCCCCATTTAAAACTGTTAAGTACTAGCTAGTAAAAGACAAAACACTGACATAACAGGTACAATCATAGTTTTGTTTTTGATGACCTCTTAAAATCCAGTTTTTAATTTCCAAGTCCAGACACAATGTCCACATTATGCTTTTAGTTAGCCTATTTTACACAGAAAATGCCTTCTCTATGTTATCTCATAAAAGGGTACTTTTGTGATTCAATAATAATCACCTTTGTTAGAAATTAACCTTTGTTAGAAATTAACCCAATTCTTTTGTTGGAAGCACGAGAAGTGACGACAGGAGAGGACTGTTTAAAATCAGCAGCGAGTTTACTGAGTGTCTGATCACAGGTAGGCCTTACAGCGCTGGGATCAGAGAGACAGAGCTCCAGCAGGAGTTCCGAAAACTGACCCCAAATTAAGGTCTTACAATACATTTTATCTTCTTGGGCTGCTCTGCCCTCAACAAAGGTACAACAATTCATGCATTGTAATCCTATTGGTCATTTGGTGAGCTGGAGCTCACACCTCCTTGCTGGAATGTGATCTACACCAGGTGTGTGTGTGTTGTTTGTATTAGAAATGTTTAGTGGAGATAGGATGTCTAGTTAGACTGTTAAATGCTTAGGCATGCTTATGAGTTTCTACAGGGTACATCTGGTCAAGGATAACTAGAGAGAAGAGTTGATGACTGTCAGCAGACAGGGTGTTTAATATTATTATTATGATGTGTATAACTGTAGCCTTAGCCATAATATGTTCTTATGTTTAATATCACGACATGTACTAGAGGTCGTGTGAGAATGTTTTTAGCTACACACCACTTAATCAACAGAACACACATACACACACACATTGATTTGCTTCATGTTATGACTACTGCTATGACCAGCTGCAAAGCTGGTAACAGAGACGTCTCGGTTGACGTTTCTGTGTAGTATGGGGCTAGCCCAACCGAGGGGCTATAATGTATAGGCCTGGTGGGTTCAGGGTCTTTCATCTTACATCTGCCTGCGAGCAGTTTGGAGGTGCAAGATACCTGAGCGTGTAATGTTAATTTTACCTGTGATCCTTTGAATAAATCAGCACTGTTTTGAAGTTACTTGGACTGTCTCGTCTCTCTGAGTTAGCAATGGTAACAAGAACCAAAGACCAACATAATGAAGGTCATTGCTACCACCAGGACCATAGACCTCTTTGAATAATGTAATCTGGTAATTACTGGAAAAAGAGATAGGGTTCTGAGACAGCTGGTTAAAATTTGGTCAGCTATATTAACTTCACAAGCAGTTGTTGAGTTTCAGAGGAATTTCCTTGAAGAAACTGCTAATGTTGCGCAAGATTTTTCATTAAATCCAAGAAAAACAGCCAGATTGGTAAAAGAACAACAAAGCACACTGAAATAAGCCTAAAGATTACCAAAGAGAGTCAATCTTATGTAAATGGGGAACAACAAATCTGTGTAAATTGACAACAAATTCATCTGTGGCGTGTTAGGCATGACAGACCTATTATCAAAGAAAGGCGTGCATGATAACTTGTTTTATTTGGACTCTAAAAATACATATTCAGATCACAGGTCTGCTGAGAAAACACCACACTATAGATAATCAGATATATTTCACAAAGAAAACTGCCTTTTTGGAATGAAGCAAAAACAATGTCAAGTAGTGGCATATTGTCTTTTTTCCCCCCCCATTTATACATATAGTAATATGTACATTTAAGAAACACAGGCTACGACCAGTATGAAGTAACAGTTTAAAACCTTTTCAGTCAGCCACAAACATCTAGACATTGTATATTCCAAGTCCTGAATGAGGCATACAGTACTTTCATAACCCCATCAAGTAACATTTTTCTTTAGTGTCTGAACTTCCATTTCTAAGACGTTAGACAAATCCCCCAAAACAAAAAAACCTTAGCACTGATTGTTCAAGCATAGAAAGTCACTGACTTTCACTGATGACAAAAATGCTAGACCCAATTCAGATGGGTGGAAAAGCAGATAAAGTACAACTCAGTGTATCGGCAGTACGTTGTACTTTAAGAATTTCATGTTGCACCAGGTGCCTCGTTACAAGTGAGCTGAATAGTTAGTGACTGTATAGCACCAAACACTTGGATGATAAACCGATATTTGTACGATACTCACCAAGATGGTGACTGTTAGTTCCATTATGAACACACCTTACTGAACATATAGTGTGACATTTCAACATCTTAACATCCACCTGCTATTCCTGGGATTAGTGTGCTCAAGGTATTTTAGTTAGTACTAGTCAAAAACAGTGATCAACGGCTCTACTGGCATATACGGATGAGATTATAGAAGATGCAGACAACTAAAAGGACTCATTTCACAGCTGTTTCTTTTTAAGTAGATGACCCTGAAAACAGAAATGGCATCACCACAGTACCTTTGGCAGACATGTAGAACTCAGGACAAAACTGAACAAGAGGAATTCATACAACCATATTTTTTCTAGGCTTTAGATGCGCACATTTTCATCAGGTGGATGAGTGTCACCTATTAATAACATTAACCAAATACAAAGATTCTTGTACAGTGCATATCAAACACTATAAGCAAAACAATAACATCACAGGTGTTTTTCAAAATATCTTACAATGAACACTTTTTTCCCCAAAACAAGTCCATGAGGTTCATTTCTTTAACAACTATCTAATGTGGTCTGAGATAGGTTGTTGCACAAGGCTGTCAAACAACAGACTTGGCAACCTTTGTACCAAGGTCCTGAAAGTAAAGTCATGTTCCAGTGGTGACTGTGAGTCTAGGTTCATGGGAGGTATTTAACTGTGTCAAGCCTGTAAACATGTACATTAATGTGATACAAGAGAAATCCCAGTTTCTATATGTATATTTTTTCCCTTATTTGTCTTAAAGCTCAAAGTTTCTTGATCTTTTGGCAATTGACAGACCACTCATAGGGTGAAGAGTGAGGAACAGCATTGAGAATTCAAAAAAAGTGCTGAGGATAATGATTGAGCAGATGGCGTGGGAACAGTCTGAGGCCAAAAAAACCTCGTTGTCTATAGGCTCAGAAACCCCACAGTGGCAGAATACTCATCTCCTTCCTCTTCTTCTCTTTCCACATCCCCTCCACTGTGAGCTGCAGAGTTCTTCCTCTTCACTTGTTTGCTGGAGGTACCCCGGGGCCTCTGCATGGGCACCAAAAGGCGGAAGCCTAGCTGGGCATTAGCAGAAGCTACACCCAAAGAAGTGGTAAAGGTGTTGAACGTGCAAGGCATGAGGGAGGAGGAGCATGTGGATGAAGGGCTCACACTCTGGACAGAAGAGTATCCCGAACTGTGAAGGTCTGTAGAGGAGAAAAGTTGTTCCTGGCCTGGGCAATCCCGGTTCACCTCCTTTTCCACCTCACAGAAGCTGTCATCATCACTTGACAAGGCTCTGCACTGCTCTTGTCCTCTGTCTGCATCAGTCAGTGGGTGCAGTTTGATGGACACCATTGAAGCTATTGAAAGATAACAGGGGTCAGTTCATGCCACCCAATCATCCTGAGCAAATTTTATTCAAACTATAGACTCCAACACAGTCCATACAGCTACTCTCATCCGTCCTTGTTTGTCCATAACAATAAGCCTGCATAATATGAAGACCTAAATTTATGTGCTGGTTGATTATACTGGACATTGCAACTGCTGAGTCATCTCTAGTCACATTATGCACTACTGGAAGGCTGACTCATCTACTATTCTCTTCCACATATGGATTGGTTCATTTCTAGGCTTTATTGAAAAACACCTTGGAGACCCTGCTAGTAATCACATTGCAATAAATAAGCCCAGTCCCTTTTTCCATCCCTCCTCAAAACTCACAGTTGCCATCCTTTTCTCCCTCACTATCCTCCTCCTGGTCTCCCTCATAACCAGAACATGAAGTGTCCAAGCTCCAGTCGAGGATGTCGCCCAGCAGCATCTCCTCCTGATTAGACAGTTCTGCTGTGGGTGTGGCCACAAAGCTGGCTCTGTGGGCCTGCATGTTGTCATCACGTCGCCTTGGGAGAAAAGTGGACAAACAGTGGGTTATAGTGAGTCACCCGAGCATCTCACAGATGGCACAAACAAACACCTTCTGGACAAGAAGGTTCACAAGTGTGTTTGTCACAGAGCACAGGAGACTCAGAAAGGACAACAACTGCTAAATGAGCAAGAAGAGAGGCGGGGGCACTGGTCATTTAGCTGTCAGTTATGTTCTGTTTCTCATTAACTGAATTTCTTGCATGATGTTCTAGTTCTGTCACACTCAGACTAAATACAAAAATGTATGTACAACACATACAATTAGATAAAAGACTTTATTTATCCTCAAATATTATCTTAACTCTCTGTTCCTGGGCTTAAAGGCAACTTTACAGTCAAATGAAATTTTCTGAAATTACTTTACTGTTCATGAGTGCACTGAGCATTAGAAGGCCATACAAACCCAATAAGCTTAAGAGTCCTCATAGAAGGACTATGTGATAAAAATATAAAAGTAATACAATAGGGCCCTTAAAATTCTCAAGAAGCGTGCATAGCTAAATATTTTTAAAGTCATTTACCGTTTTTAATACCACCCAGCTCCACTGCAATGAAAAGAGGAATGTGTTGGTACCTGACTTACCGCTTATTGGTGCTGGATGGAGAGGCGAGGAAGGTGTGGATGTCTGCTGGTTGACCAGTGGGACTGGGAGGCTCCATCTGAGGTTCCACCTCAGGAATTTCCAAGATCTGACACAGTTCTTTGAAATCCATTACCTTGTGGATCCCATGGGGAAGAACACACAAAAAAGACCAGTTTAGATTCATAGAACCAACAAAACATGCCGTGCTAC